TTCTCATGATTATATTGGGGTATAGGGTTTGAGAGAAAGACCACAGCGGTAAGGTGTCATTCTTACACATTATATTCGGATACATGCTGTGCACATGATTTACCACTGGCCACGTTAACGCTTTTTGCCTGGCTGAGGTAGTGGTTGTCAGGTTTTTCCTTTGTGAGGTTGTTATTTTGACCCACCCCACCCCTCCTTCCATACTGGACTCTGGAAGGAAGCGACCATGTGCATTGGTCTGCTCTGATGACCGTAACAAAATGCCACAGACTAGGTGGCTTCCCAAACCAGAGTTTATTTTCTCACAGTTCTGGAAGCCGGAAGTCAAGGTGCTTTGGATAGATATGAGGCCTTCCTCCTCGTCCTACAGAAGATGCCTTCTCTCTGTGTGCTCATGTGGCTTCTCTGTGAGAGAGCCAATTTTGGTGTCTCTTCTTTTTCTTTTGAGGACACTGGTCCTAATGGATGAGGATCCCACCTTAATTATCTCATTTAAACTGAATTACCTCCTTAAAGGACTTATTTGCAAATAACAGTCACATTGTGGGTTTAGGGCTTCAACGTGAAAACTTGGCAGAGGAAGGGCACACAATTCCATTCCTAACACTATTCGTAGTCCACGCTTGAGGGGTAGGGAGTTACGCTTGACCTCTTTGAGGGTGCAATAGCAACATAAATTATTTGCAGTTATTCTGAGCAGATGTGTTTTTCTCCTCCACTTATTTATTTACTCATCAATTTATTCATGTCTGTAGGGACTACTGGGTATTTATTTTATCGCTGAGTTCTAATCCAATACTACATTATTTATTTTGTTTCTTAAATTATTACAGTTTTTGGCCTTGAGAGCTCTTTTGTTTGGCTTCTATGTTCTTTGGACTTAAATAAAATCATTTTGTTGTTTGAGCACTTCCTTACTTTCTGGTACCACAAGATCCTCTTAAGAGATTTGTATTGTGTATTCCCTATTCTCAGCCCTAGAATCAGTTGTTTCTCAAGGAACCCTGGTTCTTTTTATTGGAGAATAGCATTCAAAATCAAGCTGTGCGCACTGGGCATGCTCATTGTTCCTGAAGCATCATTGTGTCTGTGCCCTCTCAGCTGACAGAACTGGGGACTAAGCGAACTTTCATATACACAGGGATCTATGATTATTTCCGAGTCTCCATCTATAGCTATATTAAGCTAAATCTGAGTACATACTGTCTCCAGATCTAATCCAGTATTTGAGGGCTCAATCTAGCTTCCCCGGTTGTTGTATGTCTGTAACTGGTCACTCCAGCGGTGAGAAATGTGAATCCATGGTTCACCATCAAACAGACTTTCGTGTTCCATACACTGGTGGTGGTTTCCGAATTGTTAAGCTAGTCACATTCCAGAGATGCAACTCTACCAACTAGACTTCGATGCCTGCATACAGTTTGTTTTGTCTTCAGTGTTACAGTCTCCACTCGTTGGCAGAGTTACAGAGGTCAAGCACCTCACTGTACTCCACTCCCTTCAGTGAGGTTAGGTCATGCATTTGTAATACAGTTAGATTCTATTGCCATAGTCTGCATCCCATCCTTGCTTTCCCTAACCTTCTAGTTTTTTTAAAATTCGCATATAAGGTTCACTTTATGTATACTGTTATTAGTTTTGTTAAATGTTTAATGTTGCATATCCACCGCTACTGTATTATACAAAATAATTTCTTTTTTATTAGATTTTTTTTGGGGATTATAGGGTACATGCACTCGCTGGAGAGACAGAGAGAGACAGAGACACAGAAAGTGAGAAATCACCACCCTAATTGGAATGGCCATGCCTCGATCCCTTATTCTCCTCTCTGGATTTTGAGCAGGCACACACACATGCCCAGTGTGAATTTTAAGCCATCATCTCTGGTACTTGAACCGCAATTGACTGTGTGGGATTCCAGTGATGTAACTATTACACCATCTGCTATCCCTATGCAGAATAATTTTTGCACCCTAAAATATCTCGTGTCTCACCTGTTCAACTTTCTTGTCTTCTTCCTGAATCCCTGGCAACCAGTGACCTGTTTTCTGTTGTTATAGCTTTGCTTTTTCCAGAATGTATATAAATGGAATCATATAATATATAACTTCTTTTTTTTAACAGAGGTTTTTGCCATAGGGCATGTGTGCTCACCAGAGAGAGTGAGCGAGAGACAGAAACAGTGAGAGGGGAAGTAAGATATCACCCCCTGGGAACATGGCCACACCTCAACCCCATCTCCTCCATTCTCCCCTTGGATATGCACATGCACCCAGCATGATTTTCAAGCTACCAGGTTCTGAACTTGAACAGCAGTCGGCCATGTGGAAGTCCAGCGACATAACCACTATGCTATCTGCTGCCTCTGGTATATAACATTTTAAAACTGGCTTCTTCCATTTAGCCCTTAAGATTCATCATTGTCATTAACTGACGTTTGCTTCTTTTTATTGCTGAATAGTGTCCCATTGTATGCGTGTACCACAATGTTTGTACATTACCTTATTGGAGTACATGTTGGTTGTTTCCTGTTTTTGGCAATTATGGATAAATCTGGTATGAAGACACATGCAGGTTTGGTGTGGACATATGTTTTTAAATCAGTTGGGAAAAATACCTAGGAATGTGATTGTCCCATTAGGTGCTATAAATATGGTCTATTTAGCTTTATAATACAAACTGCCTTGGAAAGTGGCTGTACCATTTTGCATTCCCACCAGCAATTAGTGAGAGTTTCTGTTGCTCCACATCGTTGTCAGCAATTGTTACTGTCAGTTTTTTGTTTTGAGATTTTCCCAGTGTTAATAGGTGTGTACCAGTATCTCCTTTTAATTTGCGTTTTCCTAGTGATAATGCTGAACTTCTTTTCATATGCTTACTGTCCATCTGTATACCTTCTCTGTTAAAGTGCTATGATCTTTTGCCCATATATCAATTAGTTTATTTCCTTATTTAGTTTTAAGAATTCTTTGTAGGGTTAGCTACTAGTACATAGTAGTTAGGGTGACTGGCTCCTACATGGCTAACTGCATGACTGAAGCCAAGATTGGTAGCTTGAAAAACACATCGAGCATCTCTATGTGCGTGCCCAAAATCCTGAAAGGAGGGCGAAATGGGGAAGGGATTGCAGTGTAGCCATTACCCCTGTGGGGTGCTTTCTCACTTTCTCTGTCTCTCTCTCTCTCGTTAGTGCACATATCCTCCAGCAAATTTTCAAAAAGAATTTTTGTATGTTTTAAACATATGTACTTTATGTATATTGAAATATTTTCTCCCAGTGCGTGATTGTCTTCTTTTCTCAATTGCCAGAGGGCATGTATGCTTGCGAGAGAGAGCGAGCGAGCGACACACAGAGAAAGCACCTTCCAATGGGGCATGGACCTGTCACAATCTCTTCTCCATTTCCCTTGTCAGGATTTTGGGCATGTACACCCCTGTGCCTGGTGTGTTTCTCAAGCCAATGATGTTAGGATTCAAACTGTCATTGGCCATGTGGGATCCAGCTCCCTTAACCACTAGGCTATGGGATCAACCTGATATGGTTGTCTTTTTATTCTGTCTTATTTAATTTTCATGTCAGCAAGTGTATGTGCGCACATGAAAGGAAGAGAGACAACCCCTAATGGAGCCCATTATACCGCAATCCTTTTCCCTCCAGTTCTCTATCCCATCAGGATCCTGGGCATGTGCATACTCCCCACATGCCCTGGATCCTGAGGGAAGGAGAATTGGAGGAAAAAGCCACCAGGACTTGAACCTGAGTCAGCCATGGGGCATCAGGGTTCCTCTCACATCACTTAGCTGCTGTGGTACAGCATTTTCCCCTCCTTGTTTTTTCTCTTAATAGTTTTTTGGTTTTTTTTTTTTTTTTGCAGAAAAAAATTTTAAATTTCATGAAGTCAAACTTAATTTTTTTCCTTCCACAGGTTGTGCTTTTGGTGTTGTACCTGAAATACCATGATCAAATCCAAGATCATGTAATTTTTTTCCTGTGTTTTCTTCTGGAAGTTTTGCAGTTTTCTATTTATAACTATGATTCATTTTGAGTTAATTTTTGTATAAGGTATGAAGTTCCTGACTCAGTAAATCCATTTTCTGCATATGGATATATAATTTTGCCATTTGTTTAAAGGCATTTTTTAAAAGAATTATTTAACTTTATCCATCCATTTTTTAATTTGACTAGAGGAACAGAGCAAGCGAGAGAGAGGGAAAGGAAGAAAACAAGTCACCAAATCTGGGACTTGAACCATGGTCGGCCATATGGGAGTCCAGCACCCTTAGCCACCATGCCATCTGCCGGCTCCATGAAGGCATTTTTTAATTCCCTGAGTCACCTTTATACCTTTCTCTAAAATCAGCTGAATAGGTCTATCATGTAGGTATATCTCTGACCTCTCTGTTCTATTCCATCGACTCATTTGTTTGTTCTTTTGCCAGTAGCATGCTATCCTGATTACTGTAGCTTTATAGTAAGTCTTAGAAATTAGTGGTGTGCATTTTTTAATTCTTTTTTTTTTCTTTTTCTGTAGAGGTTGAACATCTCTATTCTGAGAGTCTAAAGTCTGAAATGCTCCAAAGTCCAAAACTTTCTGGGTGTCGACATACACACTGGCACAAGTGCAAGATTCTGTACCTGACCCCCATGTGATAGGTCACAGTCAAAACGCTGCAATATAAAAATGCCATATAAAATCACCTTCAGGATATGTGTGTAAGGTGTATGAGAAACATAATTCATGCTTAGCCTTGAATGCTGTTCCCAAGATCTCTCATTATATATATACAGATTTTCCAAACGTTGAAAAAAATCCAAAAGCCAAAACACTCCTGGCCAAGCATTTCACTTAAGGGATACTCGGTTTGTCTTGTGTTGACTAATCTAGACCCTTTGCTTGTCTGTGTAAATCTTAGAGGGATGTCTACTGAATTTTAAAAACTAAAAATGGTTATTCCTGTGACTCGGAGTAAATGTGAAGTTTCTTTCATTTGTTTTGCAGGTGGTTTTTTGAAACTCTGAAGTATCCTAAGTTTTCCAAAGCCAACGTTATCAATGGAGTACTCATGACTGTGGTCTTCTCCATCGTGCGGATTGCTGCCATACCTCCTTTTTATGGCTTCATGTGTTCTGTGTACGGAACAGAACCCTACCTAAGGCTTGGATTTTTAATCCAGTTTACCTGGATCTCTACTTGCGTTGTTTTGGATGTGTTGAATGTCATGTGGATGATCAAAATTTCAAAAGGATGCATCAAAGTCATCTCTCTCATCAGACAAGAGAAAGCTAAAAAGAGCCTTCAGAATGGAAAACTTGAATAAAGATATGCTATTGATAAGCAAACTTCATTACTACCTGGCACTGTATCTGCTGATAGGATGAATTCTTGGCATGTTCTTGTGCTTCACTAAGTATAATTGTTATTCAGGTTTCAATGTTCTTTTCTTTTTTTCTTTCTTTTTTTTTTTTTTTTAAAGAAACTAACATTTAATTTTCATTCCAGGATTTCTTTTCTGCTTTACTTCTACATTATAAGCATGGATAAAATCATAAAGGTTTAAATAAAATATTATAAAAATTGTGATGAATCTTTTCAGAGATCTCTTAACTTGCATTGGTATTTTTCTCCATGGAAAGATGACTGTGATAATTTGGTGCACTTAGTTTTATGTCACCAATTTTGCCGAAAGAATGGGAACTATTAAATCTGTAAATAGCTCTCAGAATTTTGTTTTATTGCACTCTTTTCTTAATATGACTGTCAATACCTGTATAGAGTTTAATTTGTAAATTGTTGACATGTTCTTTTTCTTAGACAATTAGAAGTAATATACTTTTTATCTCAGATATGCAATCACCTATTAATGATGAAATATTTTACCACGTTGGAAATATTTCATTAGTTTAGTCATAAAAATACATTCTACATTTTAAAATTTTTCAGCTGTCATTTTCTTGTTTCTGTTTTTAGCATTTTATCCAATTATTGCCTTTTTATTTTATAGTAAGGCTTATGACAGATCTTACAGACCTTAAGAGATGAATTTCTTCTTCTAAAAATGCATGTTGATAGATGACAATTTAGGCTAATAGGAGGAATCATTAAGAAAAAAGCTTTAATACTACTGTCCAATCTGCTTCCTTTGCACTTTTCTTATGAAAAATATATGATTTCTTTTTGCAGAATCTCCCGAGTTCAGAACCCAATATCATCAGTACCAAAGTCTTATGCAATATGTATTTATCATGCTCCTAAAATAGGCCTCTTCCTAATGAGTCCAAAACTACAAAAAAAATCAGTATTCATATTTTATTCACAGTTTATACCCATGCTTGCCTAGTCAGCATTTTCAGTGCTTTGAATTTCTACCTTTCTTAAAGGATAGGAAGAAAATAAGCTAATTTAATCCAAGGATTCTGATTCTCAAAATTACTGTCTTATTATGTAAAGATAAATGACGGATGACTATGGATGTGTGTGTGTGTGTATGTGTATGTATTTGCTTTTATTTTTGCTCTAGCACTGCAAATATAGAATTATATTTTTAGCTATTCTTGCCTTTATTTATTTTTTCTCATGTATTTTAATGATGGTTCTTATGAAAGGAAAAAAGAAATTTAATTCAGCCAGTGGTGAATACTTGAAGTTAATTAAACCCAAACCAAAAGATCTAATCCATTCAGTTTCTCAGTTTGAAGGAGAATATTTGTCTCACTTTCATTAATCATGTTATAAGGATGAAGGGAGGCTAGCTGAATATAATCCAGACTTTTGTTTATTTTGATTTGATTTGATTTGATTGTCCAATGCAGATAGAGCCTGGTAGGTTTTATAAAGAAAGGAATTAAATTCTTGGCCAATAACTAAATAATAGTTTCTTATGAGCTTGATTGGCTTTGCTAAGAATATTTATTTTTGAAAGACTTAAAGTAATATAAAATATAAGCATTTGTTTTTAAAGCAACCAGTGTAACATTAACACATCTGTTACTACATGTAGTGCTGTCCACATTATAGGAACCTAAATATGTTTTGGTTGTCTAGAGGGGTTAGGAAAGCAAGTTTTTGCTCTTTTGCAAAATCAAGTGGCTTTTTTAAAAAAGGAAAACATTTATATTAAAAAACTATTTTGGAAATTCGTTTCTTTAGAAAGAAACCTAGAAATAAATATTTTTGAGTCTTTGGATATTTCTAAAATTCTGAACACAGATTTTAAACCCATCATTGAAATAAAGACAATATAAAGCTGTACTGTTATTGAGTTTCCATGTAGTAGTTTCAGTTTTTATACTTGCTGTTTCATGCTTCACATTTCATTTCACTTTCATTGACATTGCATTTCATTGGTATCGCCACTCACCAAGTACTAGACTCTATTTAAAATATCAAGGTTTTCAACTAAGACTTGTTACTCTGTTATTCCTTTAGTCAGCAATCCTTATCTTATTCTGACAGGATGACAATTAATTCAACCTTCAGATTCAGGATCCAAAGTAGGTTCCATATATTTCCTCACATATAGACTTGACATGGAAATTCCATTACTAACTGCCATGCTATTTCAAGTCAGCTCCTTATAGGAGCTGTGCTTTGCTATTCAGATTATATCCTCCTACCTAGAATGTAGACAAACAGAACATATCATTTGTTAAACGATGACTTTTTCATTTATTAAATGACAGACTTTTGCTAAACATTTTAGATATTAAGTATTTTGACTACATGGATTAATTGAAATGATTCTATTAGACATTCTGATATTTAACACCTTAAAATATTTATAAAAAATAAAAGCAAATTGGTATAAATTTTTAAGCAATTCTATTTTTGTAGAAAAGATGAGTGACAACCTATAATTATAAAGATGTTCTTCGAATGTGTAGTATTCTAGAAAATAAAAGTTCTAATGAAACTTAAAAATGAGTAAAAATGAACTAATACCTTGCAAGATCTTAGATCCTGTATTAGGTGTTTTATTTTTGAGAACTTAAAGATTATGAGCTTGAGTTTATAGTTTACATTCTTGCATCTAAAATCTTACTAAGGATGCTCTCCATGTATTTAAAACTCAAAATGGAGTTATATATGAGTGCAAGAAAAATTAACTCCTGTTTAAATTACGTTTTAATACCCTGTAATAAGTTGAAATTGAATTTTTATTTCACCTGTTTGCTTTTATTTCCTGAACTAGTCCTATATTGAGAAAAGTAAGTTATTGGTCATTACCATCCCTGACGGTGTGACTGATATAATATGATGACCTAGTACCTAGTCTTGAATGTCTCATTTTTAAAACTGCTTAGCTTATAGGTATTCAGATAAAATTTTCTTAATTTGAGTAATTTATTTGGCTCAATTTTTGCAGACCTGTTTTTAAATTGTTTACTTTCTGTGAGGTGCATTGGGCATTTGGAGAATGATTCTTCACTGTTGTGAAGAGCCAGCTTACTGTTACATACACCATTTATTATCATGCATTTAGAAAGATTCTTCTCAGAGATACAGAAGGGAGAGTACGATTATTTCTTCCATTTTATTTTAAGGGAAACAAATACGTTCCAAAAGATCTTATTAAAATAAATATTGGAACAAAATTCTGTTTCTAAGATGCTCTTAACTCCAAATATGTAAATATGTATTTGAATTGGCTTTAAGCGGTTTGGTTTAGTGGATGAAATTGAAAAGTTGACATACTTTTTGACATTATTGATAATACTTCCTAGAAAGTTATATCAATATTTTATGCATTTTGGATTCCATAAGAAACAAAGTTGTATAATCTTATCAGAAGAGTGGCATAGTGTTTCTCAGCAGGTATGACCCTTGTGTCTCTAGACTCTGGGCACAAACACACCTTCCCGGCCTTAACCACAGTTTGTTGATGACAAACACACTTAAACGGCTGAAAGTGAGCTCTAATGCAAAGTAGTGTGTGTAGGAACTACAAAAAGCCAGCAGGACCCCGAGTTGGAGGAGACATGCACACTGCTTTTTTCTTAAAAACCACCATAGTCCTCCCTTCATCTATAAATTTTCCCTCTGACTCCTTCCATATCTTCTATCACCTCCTCCTAATTCCCCAAATAATTCATCACACATCCTGTCCATTGCCAGCACCTTTCTACATCAACTTTTGAGACCTCCCCATACATCTCTAAGCTTCCCGGTCTTTGTGGCAAGTTTAAAAGTTGACAAATAGGTCCATCATTGAAAAACATTGTAGTAAGTTGAAGTAGAGATCAGACAAAACAGAATTTATTAAGAGGCTACGGGAAGCTGTTCAGTATGTAATAATACCTGTTTACGGCACAAGACAAAGCTAATAATGTTCTTGTTTTATTAAGGAACATCTGTAATCTCTCTTTTCCTTAAACTGGTTTGGCAATAAGAGCTTTGTAACATGCTTCAGCTGGGCATCAATTGTAGGTGTGTAAATGATCTAAATGTTCTTAAACTATGGCAGGAGAGGGGAGGAACTGAGGTAACTCTGTTATAAGGAGGGTGCTGACCTGTGGCGGAATTTTTATAGAGTCCTGCCCTTTAATAGAGCAGACTTTGTGATGGTAGTGTTTCTTTAAAAACAGGCTCACCAGCAAACGAATTACTCTGTGTTTATCGAAATACCACATCCAAGGACTGGAGCCCCACCCCTTTCTAGCCCATAATCAAACAGCCTCTAATTGTTTTAGTAATGAATCAGTCAAACCTTTATTGGAAGAGACTTTGGATAGCTGTGAGGAATTGAAGGCAGCTCCCTAACAGATCAGTTTGTTTGCAATGAAAATGTTTACACTTAATTCACTCTGAATAGTAGAAAGTTTTGATATCCAGCCCTATTCATAAGACCAAAACCAATGAGAAATATTTCTAAATCTCGAAGATTTGTTAAGTACAGTACCTCTGGCTAAAAACTTGTTAAAAATCATCTGTACATTTTTTTCTTAAGATCTTTATGTAATTCTTTCTGTAATTAAGTGTGCAGTAGAGTTATTTGCTACTTCTTGGTTAATGAAGCCTAAAAACCAGTTACATTAAAATACGCTATATATTTTTCGGTTCTTGCTTGGTTTGTTTCTGGTATGATTCTATCTACTTTTGACTTAAGGAATTTTTGTGTTGATAACACTCTCACTAACTTGTAACTAGGATAAGTATAAGATTCTTTGGCAATGACTAGAATTTGTAATGATAATGACTTTAAGACATAGATTTTATTTGAAGAAGATACTTGAAGTCTGCAGTAACATGAGATAGCTGTAGTGATAATATATATAATTTTTTCAGACTATGTAATATATAATATTTGATTGTCATAAAGATTTTTGAAAGTCTTTCAAAATATACTTAAAAACATTTTAAGAACCTACTTTCTAACTTATTTCCTTAAGGCTGGTGATCTTTTGTTTTATTACAAAATGTAAGACTAAATAATTTATAAATCAGTGTTACTAAGACTTATCAGTAATTAAAATGGCAATTTAATGTTCTTTGTTTTGATTTCTAATTGTGCTTTATTTGGAGGGATAATGAATGCCTTTAGGTATTTCCATTAAAATTTTGAAATGTTTGTATACTTTATTTGTGTGCCATTTTAAGGAATATGCAAGTTCTAAGCAATAATCTGCATGATATACAAGGTCGGCATACTTTGTCATGACAGTTTGTTTAGTGTTAATTTTAAGAATGATAGAATCATCATTCTATAACTCACCCTACCCCATGAAATCCTTGAGATTTTCTTGTGCTAGAACACTACGATAATGTGGTGCAAAGCTTTGTATTTTGTGAAGAAAATGAATAAAATCACATTTAATGCAAAAGTTTGTCTACAAGGTGTATTTTTTTTTTGAGAGGTTTTTGCTGTAGGGCATGTGCACTTGCCAGAAAGAGAGAGACAGAGAGATAGAAAGTGAGAAATCACCCCGCAGGGGGGATAGCCACAGCATAATCCCTCTCCTCCATTCTCCTCTTGGGATCTTGGGCATGCACACATGTGTGCCCAGGGTGAGTTGAAGCCTCTGGGTCCAGGACTCGAGCCGCGGTCAACTACATGGGAGTCCAGCGACATAGACATTGTGCCAACTGTTGGTCCCAAGGTGTATAATTTAATAGTAATTAATGAATAGATCGATAACACATCTGTTTTCCTCAAATCAAATAATTTCTTCTGGCACCTGAATCCTTAAGGTAAGTTTTTATTCTTCATGATGCTTATTTAGCACAATTGTTCCCTTCCTTTCCTTTTTCTTGCCCCCATGAGGTCCTGGCCTCTAGCAAACCAGAGTTGCAGACATTTAGTCATGCTCATTAATAGAAGAAATGGTGCTATCTAATCAGTAGGCTCTTTAAGATTGAGTCAAATTTTGGCAGTTATGTAATCTTCCCTTCGTCTCTTAGACTCTCATGCGGTCTCTAGTTTTTTTTTTTTTTTTTTTTTTTTTTCCAAATGTCTTGGCTGAAATTCCTACCTTCTCAAATTGCCTGTGGCCTCAATCTTAGATCTTGGGCTGAGAATATCCAGTAGATCAGGAAGCAGAGCACTAATCGACTAGAATATTGAAGTGGTTTGGTCTTTGGAGAGTACCATGAGTCATGCTTCAGAACATGCCTAAAATGTTGTGTCAAGACTGGCAAAGGAACAGCTGAATTTCAAAATGGAAATAGCAGTCACAGCTGTCAGTGGAGCTAGGCCACAGGTGAATTGCAAGGATTCAGAACCACTTGCTGAAGTGTAAATGGGGTCTCTCTCCCACACCTCAGGCTGTCTCAAACATGAGTTCTCCTTACTCTCCTATTTTCTAGTCTTTACTAAGGTCTATTTATCAAAAGAGAGGCCATCTTAGTGCCACAAAATAAGTGATTAGACAAGCACGGGACTTTCCCCAGTGCTAGTAACGGCCAGTCTGATGAGTTCCTGGATGTCTCCTCTCAAGTTGGACTCCATCTGAGGACTGCACACGTCACCCTCTGCGTGAGTAGCATGGTGCACTGCTTCTGCATCCTCTCTGCCACTGTCTGGTAGCCCCGTGCCCTGTTTATCTACCTCCAGCTAAATTCAGTTACCACATGTGGGCCTGTCGTCTCAGCAAATCATTATTTATACTGGCAGAAAGTACCTGAGTGGAACTTTCAAAGGGGGCTCACAGGAAGAAATGAAAGATAGTGGGATGATGGGTTATGTTTCTACTGAGAATAAAGATCAAGGATGGATGGAAATTTGGGAAGAGTGATTCAAAAAGGAGAAAAAGACTTCAAAAAATAGGGAAACTTAAGAAAATGTTATATATATAAGCATTGCATTTTAGATGAAGGGAACATTAAGAAAAATGAATATAGTAAAATTCCTATACATGGAATTAGAGTATAATGAAGTGGTATAACTTTCCTATATTAAAATGCAATGTGCACATGCCCATTGTATATCTTTCAGTGTATGTATGTGCATGTGGGCATGTGTTTCTATTTACACACATCTGTCTATATCCACATGTACACACCTGTGGGAGACATATTTGACTTCCTGTTTCAAAACCATTTGTATCTGAGGAAGCCTGTCTTATGCCAGTAATCAGATGCTCTGTGTTGAGATGAGAATGAGGGGACAGCATTGGTGGAGCGGCGGTCCTGGTAGGAGCACCCAAGTCCCGATATGTTGTTGTTAGAAAAAAACATTCGTGTTATGAAATGACCTATGTTTCCAGGCAGGCTTTTCACCTGGGAGGTTTTGGAAGACTAGTGAGCAATTGTTATAGGATGCCTTGTTATGGACAGGTGTGTGAATGGGTGAAGCACAAAAAGGTAGGGTTTTGTTTGAATTATAAATTGGAAAAGTAATTTGGAAAGAACGAGTGGCCTAAGGCCTACAGTAACCACAAGAAGTATCTTAATCTCTCAGAGTCTTAGTTTTGTTATCTGTGAAATAATGTTTGAAGTATCTCTGATGTTCCTTCCAACTCTCTCATCCTATTAGTAAGAGCTTAATTTGGAGCAAGGCAATTAGGAAGGAACAAGTGTGACTTTGAAGGCTTAGTAATGTGATTTAAATGACATTCGAGGGAGATTCTCTGTGTCGAATGAAATGAATGAGAGTACAGAAATAGGTTAAGTGATAGAAACTGGCCAGGGAACAGCAAAGTGAGTGAGCCTGATTGTTGGCTTGAGACAAGGAAGTTAGATAAAAGGGCTGGATTGAACAAATATTGCAGAAAGGAAGCCAGAAGCATTTAGAGGAACTGAACAGAATTCAGGAATAAGGCGGTGGGACTGAGAGGAGAGGGATGCCACTAGGAGCCATGGACTCAGCAGGAGGTTGGCACGCTGGCTGGTGCAGCTCTCAAGGGGACCCCAGGAAAGTCAGGGGCTGAGGCATTTGCCACGAATGAGAAAAGGGAAGGCATGACAGAAGAGAAGAGTGGGACCTGTGATGGACTTTTCACATCATGGCAGTGTTGTGCTGAATTCCATCTGGGGGAGAGAGTGCTCTCTCAAAGTGCTGCACTGTTGTGGTTTTGATTGACCTCTGGTTCTGGTCCACTGTCTTGCCTCGTGCCTGTGTATTCCAGTTTCCTGGCTGCCACTGACCCATGGTTTTCTCACAACCATGTCAGGTTCCCCACCCTGTCCCATGATTCATTTCTCCCCAGGATGTCAGCACAGCCCTGTCAAATCAGGGAGCTTGAGGAAGCTCTGGAGGTGATGGGTAAGAGGCCCAAAGAATAAAGCCCTTCTGTGGAGTTGCAGGTTGTGGGTCCAGGAGCTTGAGGCTTGCATGGTCAGAGAGCCCTGTTTTGCCAAGGGACTGGCTCCCTATGTGACATGGCCTTTAGATAGTGAAGGAGCCAAAGTTCAGAGGATGGGGCAGAGGAAGCTGTGTATCTTGGAGCAGAGGTGACAGCTGCCATGACCCTGCTAGGTTTCCAGTTTGGGTTTATGAATTGTTAAAAGGAGAAATGGAGAGGCATTTCAAAAACCTTCCTTCTTGGACTGCCATACCATCTCCTAATTGGTCTCTGACTCCACACTCCCTCATCCATCACACATGCTACTGACTGACTCTTTTTAGAATAAGTCTTTAATTTTTGTCACAGTCCTGCTAAAAACGTCCGGTACTCCATTCCCAAGTCTAAATTCCTTAAACCCAGTTTGGACTCCCAAGATGAAATTTCTTCAGCCCTATCCCATCTATTCAAGCTCAGTCCACCAGCAAGTTCTACCAGGAGGGAAAGCTGGTGTCCGCCACATGCTCCTGCCATTCTGGGCACTTGGCCTTGCTGTGCCTCTAGCCTGGGGGCCCTCTCCCCTCTTACTGATCTGTATCTTACTTATCCTTAAGACCACCTCTTAAGGGTATTGGTTCTTAATTTCTACTAAAAACAAAACAGGAAAAGAAATATTTGGGTAGAGTTGAGAAAATAAGTTCATTGAATTACTTTAACATTTGTTGAGCACTTGCTAGATTATTCAGTGTCTGGAACAACTAGAACAAGTGAATGATTTTTGTTTTTAAGTTTCTTTCTTCCACAAGTGAGAAAGAGAGACTAGAGAAGCAGGCACAACAACAGGTTCTATACACTTTGATCCACTCCCAGTTCTAGCCAGCCCTAGATCCTGGGTACGTGCTCCGAGAGGTCTCCAGACACAAACTCGGAACCTTCTCACATGGGTCATACTCACAAAGTGTTCTGAAAATGGTACCGTGCCACTCTCCAGCCCGATAAACTCATGCTAGATTGATAGTCTGGATCTCAGAACTTCCTATCCCGAGTGTCTAAGGCCATAGCTGAGCTGCTCTCTTTTCTACCTTCCTAGAGGTCAGAAATCAGTTCTTCCACTCCCACTGACTGGGGCAAGGAGTGGGAGCACAGTCCTGTTCAGGCTTCAGCAAGACCGGTATTTTGAAAAACATGGTGGAAAGACTTTTCGTCTGGGAGTCTAGAGACCTGGACTCCGGTTCTGGCTCTGCTGCAGACTGGTAACCAAAGTGCTTTCACCTGCTGCCATTTGTTTTTCATTGCAGGGAAGGACTTGAACTGGGTGATCTAAAGGTCCTTTGTCTTTCAAATTCTGTTACAGTAAATAGAATCAAAGTTAAGGTATAGTTCAAGATATGGTAGGCTCTGAGCATGATTTCTATTACAGAGTCATTCCAGAACATTGGTTTCAGTTGTGTAAGCTTCTGGAGGCAGGCTAAATTTTAATTTTGATTGTCACTGTATGCCCTTGAGTGAGGCCACTTGTTTACAATTCTGTCTGCCTCATTTGCAAGAGGAGGAAGACGGTATCACTTGCAATCAATGAACCTAGCCAAAAAGGCTGAGTATATTTGCTGAGTGCTTCAACGTTCGCAAGGGAA